TCTTTCTCCCCAGGAGTGACTACTGGGTTTGAACCATCGACCTTCCAGTTGACAACCAAGCCACTGGGTGGAGGGCTCCCAGGGGAGCTGGCTCTTCTGCCTGAAGACGCAGTGTCCTCTCAAGGGCTACAGCCCAAAGTGCGATCCGTTGGCTGGTAGAATCCCATGCCAGGTGGCAACACCAATGTCCTTTTGGGGACAAAGTGCTGCTGGGTCCTGGGTGGACGCACCGTCATCGGCAACGCGCTACCCCACCCTTGCCTGCTTTCTCACTGAGCGCTCTAAGATCCAGCCACAGTCTCTAGGGTCCAGTGGTTGACCTGGTCAAGGCTGACTGCCCAGCTCCCTTGCCTACTTAACTCACCTCCGCTGAGCGGTCCTGATTCATGCTTCCTGCACATCACAGTCCTGACCAGCACAAGCCACTTGAGCCCCCACCCTACACAAGCCGCCCGGCTCCCAGGGAGACTCCTGGGTGTCCACACCTGTTACTGCTCCCAGACTGGTGGTCAGCTATGGCTGCCCATGCAAGCACAAGGGGCACACCACCTGGGGCATCTTAAGTCATCAATGAGAACTGCTAGGTGACCAACCAGATGAGCTTGACATCCCTGTGGTCTGTTCCCAGGGCAACAGGGAAGGAAAAAAAAGAAGCCAACAATTCTAAATCCCCAGGAGCCTTGCTACCAAAATCACCACCCTGCACTTCAGAGTGTGTCTACACAATACTACATCTGGACATAATATATGCTTGGGTGTGTATGTGGCCATCAAGAGATAAATGTACATATGAGGGGCGGGGGGAGCATTCCAAAAAGTTCGTGGGGGGGACTCCAAAACTCTGTTGCCTTTTCCTTCCAATTTTTCTGTGAACTTTCTGAAGTGCGCCCCCCCCCCCCCCAGCCTCTTACGTTGAAAGAGGCCTTCAAGAGACTCTGAAGGGGAGACATAGACACACGGGAACGGTGAACAAACGAAAGCTCATAAGTAAACAGATCCGAAGTCGTTAACGGGGGTCCCCAGCCCCTGCAGCGACGCCGGCCTTTGAGCCAAATGCGCAGAGTAACGCCGAGTTTCCTGGCAGCAGCGGGAATCGCAGAAGACAGAAGCCCGAGCCCCTGTTGACAGTGAGTCTGAAGAGCCATTGCTCAGTGGGGTGTGCTACATGGAGAGAAGGGGAGCTTGGCAAAGGACACCCCAACATTCTCCCGGGTCGCTAGAAGAGATGGAGAGGTGGTGTGGACTCTTGATGTATGCAATCGAGCATTTCTCCCAGAGTTAAGAGAAAGGAGCTGGTGCCAAGGGTGAGGCTTGAAAGCTCCGGGTCATGGAGGGGTGACCTAGAGCCCCAGGCTTCCAGAATTCACAACAGACCTGCCAACCTGCGTAGGGAGCATCCAGATGTTGGGGTTCTCTGAGTGGAACACTAGGTTTCCGAGTGGAGAAGTCAGTCATTCTTGACTCGTCTGCTGAGAACAGAGGGAACAGATGGCGCCCGCCACGGTTACTAGAGCATTCGAGCCCGGTGGTCTAGTGCAGACGCCTTAGCACACGCGGGGGATGGCGGAAGAGGGCACTTCACGTTCTCATGGAACCCTTTTTGAAACCACTGAGGCTGGATGACCTTCTGAATCTGCAGCCCCGAGGTAATGATGCACGCTGGACACATCTCGAGTATGACCACATGGGAGGCAGAGACACAAAGGGTGCAGGGGCTGTTGGGAAGATGGCACCCATAGACTTGGCTCCACTGTCTCGCAAGCTCAATAGAGCACTCGGTGGGCCCTTTCAGGGCTCATCTTTGAGGGTGCAGGCCAAAGGCTGCCCTATCCGACCTAGTCCTCAGCCCTTTGTTCTGGGGTACGGCTCTCAGTAAGCCATCAAGCGCCCTGGGCCATCTCCACAGGAGCCCCCAGGCCCCTCACCAGTTTCCCAACTGCTCAGACACAGGCAGATTCTTGCTCAACAGCCGTCCCAGCCCGGCTTCTCTACTCGTCTCCTTCTTTCTGCGCCTGCAGTTGCAGAAGGGGCTCTGCGGGACACAGTGCTTTTTACAGAACGCTTCCCACTGCGCCGAGACGGTGCCTCCCAGTGTCTGCAGAAGCCACACGGCGTCGTCTCCTGCCTGAGCAGTTTCACAGAGCCCTGGAGAGGCTCTGTGTGAGGCAGGCACGGCCTAGGGGCAGGTGTGGGCAGGTGCTGGCCTCACCGCCCAGCTCGGCCTTGGTTTGGAGGAGACTGGCACCTCACCAGCCTGCAGGAGGCGTCCAAGCCGCCAGACGGGTGAGCAAATGGATGGGGCTACCCAGTACTGTCCCCTCGCACAGCGCTGCGCCTGGGCCAGATGCAATTCTCCTCTCAGCATACTTGCTGTGCAGCTGCTCTTGTGACGGTATTTAGCCAGCGTGTCCGGCTGCTTCTTCAGGACATGAATTCCTAATAAAGATGCTGGCTGGACCACTGGCTAGAAGACAATGTGGGCCTCCCAGTGGCTCTAGGAGAGGGCAATGCAGCCGGCTAAGTACCAGCAGCACAGAGATCAGAGTACAGGTCACAGCCTATCCACCTGCCTCATCTCATCCACCTACCCTACCTAACCATCTATCATCTCTGTCTGTTATCTATCTAATCTGACATCTACCGGTCTAATCTAACCCCATCCATTGATTTAATCTACGTACCTATTCATCTATCCATTATCTAGGTCACCTGTCATCTAGCTATCTAATCAGTGAAAAAGAGGGGGGCCCTCAAGGAGATGGATTGACCCTGGGCTGCAACACTGGGATCAAGCACGGGAACAATTGCGTGGATGTGCAGGCAGGGCGGTGTCTCCCTCTGCTGTGCGTACGGTCACTATGTGTTGGTACCTCCATGAAGGCACCGAACAACATCTGTTTAATCTAATTTACCGGTCCGTCTGTCTGTCTGTCTCTCTGTTATCTGCTTAATCTATTACCGACCAATCTAATCTAACCTCTACCAATCTAATGTAAACTCATCTACTGATTTCATCTCACAATGCATCCATTTATCCATTATGTGCTATATCTATCATCTATCTATGGAATCTACTTACCTACACATGTATCCATTTATTATCTATTAAATCTATCATCTACATATCAAATTTAATCTATTCTAACCCACCAAATCTACCTATTGTCTATCTTATCTAATCTATTTATCTATCTGTTATTACTTATTATCTACCTATTCAAGCTATCTTTCCATTTATTAATTTTTATTGTTCATTAGATGAGGGTGTATGAAGCAATCCTGTCAACAACTCGTGCCTATCTTGCTTGTTGACCTTGACTGCAGTCCTGAACTGTCACCTTACTTATCCGACTTGCTCCGTTGCCATTTCTCTTTCTCTCTAACTCTTCTGTCCTCGGTTCTTGGGCCCATGCTGCCCTTTTGATCTCAAATGGTGACATGTTTTCAGGGATCCATATGCTCACTGGTCTCCTTGCTTCCCTGATGAGCAGTCTAGTGACGGCCCAGGGCATTTCCATCACTGCCTGTGCGTGTGAGCGCTGGACATGGATAAGGAAGAGCCGGCTGCTGTAAGGAAGACTGAACGTAGCCCAAAGGAAAACAGCAACGTCTGGGGGAAGTGCAGTCAGAGGTGAGCACGGTGGGACTTCACCTCATGAACTGAGGCCGTGTGGGCGGGAGAGACCAGTCCCTGGAGATGGACATCATGCTTAGGAAAGTAGAGAGGGCAGAGGAAAAGGAAGGCCAGCTGACGGGATGGACTGACAGAGCAGTGGCCACAAGGAGCTCAAACACACGCGAGTGCCTTTGAAGTGGTTTCTCTGGTCTACCAGGACTAACCCAGACCCTGAGGAGAGAAGGGTTCATCTCTCTGGGAAAGGTGAGTCTGAGCTGCAGAAGGGTGCCTAGGGTTGGGGTCTCCCAGTACAGTAGGTGATACTCCCTCACCCCTGGGGCTGGGGCTGGCTATGAGGGGTCCAATGCTGCCTCACTCAGCCCCATCTCTCCCAGCCCTTCCCTTCAATGGCCAAGCAAGGCCCTCTTCTATGCCCAATGGTGGGCACTGTGGACCTGAATGGTGACCAGTTACCACACTGGGAGGAAGTAACAGCACCCCTGAGGATGCCATGGTCATTGCACGCCCCTCCCCTGCAGTGCAGGTGACTCCCCAGGAGCAGACTGCAGATGGGTCAGTGAGGAGGGGCCAAGGGAGGCCAGCGGAATCTATCACCCTACTGACCAGAAGGCCAACGAGAAGGGCCAGTGAGGCTATGGCAAAGGTAGAGGGTGCTGGGAGAGGAAAGCAGAGGCTTCTGGGAAAGTAAAGCAAATGCAAGAATAATGAGGCAAAATGCCATTGAAGTGGTCTTTGTTATTGCAGGCCTGGTCACTACACGGGCTGTTGCTATTGCTAGAGAAACAGTGGCGTCAGCTCCAGGCAGGAGGCAATCGGCGCCCCACCCCCACCCCCACCTCCGACCTGGATTCGTGGCACCTGGTTTGGGGGAAGCTGTGGAGCAAGCTGGTCTCTCACGCTCCCATTCACACCTCCATAGGGACCTGCACCTTCCACCTTGTGTCCCCAGTCCCCTCCTGCCTGGCCCTGGCCCGCCTGCCTGCGGAGCCGGGCTTGGGGTCCAGGGCTCTGAGGAACCTGTTCCTCTTGGGTCTCGCGGCTCCCTTGGCAGCCCCTGCTGTTGGGCTGCCAGGTGAGCTGGGGTTGGGCTCAGGTCCAGGCCTGGAAGGGTCTTATGGCCACACCAAGCTGCTCGAATGCCCCTTCAAGGACAGCCATTCAGTTGGGCCTTGGTCCTCAAGTTCAGGCCCGCAGGGAGGGTCCCATGCCCTGCACTGTCCCTAGCTGCCCAGAGTTCCCCTCTCTCCACCCCTCTTTATTGTTGCCTCTTCCAGCTCCCGAGCCAGAGGGAAAGGCCTGGGCATTGAGGGGACAGACGGGAATAGGGCTGCTGCCCTTGGTGCGCGCCCAAGGGGCCACTCACTGTTTTCCGAGATCTCCACAATGTAGAACAGGACAGGGCTGTTCCCATCAAAGGGCCGCACCCAGGACAGCGTCACCGAGGGGCTCAGGGACTCCGTCAGGCTGGCCAGGAGGTTCTGCGGCGGATGAGGCAGCTCACTGGGAGACAAAGGAGGGAAAGGAGCAGGGTCAGAGAGAAGGGAAGACCCCGTCACACGGGCAGCGCCGGGTTCGCCTGGGCCCTCACCCCAGTCAGCCCTGCAGCGCCCTGTGATGCACCCCGGCGACTCAGGGCATGTCCCGATGACACACACACACACACACACACACACACACCCCACCATAAAACAAACAAACAAAACCCCAAACGTCACTGGTTACAATGCCATCTGGTGTCCAGCACATCCTTGGGGTCCGTAGCTACTGGAGGGACCAAAGGTACGATCACTTAAGTGGGGGTGGAGGAACCCCCACTTGTTATCTCCCTGCTATTGTGTTGCCTGACCAGGCCACGGTCTTGTCCATCGCCCCTGGCACCTTTGAGAGCCAGACGGTGACGGGGAAGGCCGAGCAAGACCGGATGAACATCCGCAGACTGCCGGAAGAACTGACACATTTGTCTGGGAACACATACAGCCAGAATGCTCCTTGGGGGCAAGGGTGGCGACACTTGTCCATGGGGTCAGCAGAGACCAGCCCTTGGAAAGGGACACCGTGCTGGGTGAAGTTGCGGGGCAGTGCTGAAGAGGCAGAGGAGCAACGAGCTGGCAGCAAGGACTCAAACATGGCAGTGTGTGTCCTTCTGGAGCACGTGGGCCCCCAGCCCGTGGAACTGACTCAGCAGGCCACAGCAGGAGCCGCCGTGAGTCAATTCGGACGCCCAGTGATCCTAGGGGACAGGCCAGCACTGCCCCACGGGGCTTCCGAGTCCATCAATCTGTACAGAGCAGGCCGCCCTATCTTTGTCTCAGAGCGGTTGGTGTGGTCAAACCCACCTTTGGTTACAGCTGTGGAGTCAATGCCAATGCCCAGCGACCCTAGAGGACAGAGTAGAACTGCCACGGGGG